GTGGCCGCCCTGCTTACCTTCCCCGCTGTGGCAGATGCAGCTGGGCCAGCAGCACTGGGCAGACGAAGCTCTGGGACTGGGCTGGTGGCTTGGCTGTGGTGCGGGGGAACCAGAAATCCATGTGGGGCTGAAGATCCTCCCCGCTGCCCCCCTCCTCAACAGATTTTGACACCGGCATCGGAAAGGTTATGTGCATGTGCTCTTGTGCAGAGCTTCTGGAATTCAAGATCCTCAGTTTCTCCCTCGTGTTGGAGAGAAACACAGTAGGAATTGGAAATATTTGACCTGTGTAATGTGATATCATTGCTGGACTCCGTTTTGGACATGAAAGAAAGAGTTCATGGTGCCTGGGGAGGGGTGAAGGCAGCCTGGCTCCTGGTCTGTGCTACAGCCTTGGGGGCACACGAGGACACTGCAGGGAAGGCAGAGGTGACTCTGGTCCAGTTTGTCTCCTTGTGTTGTCAAGGAAAGGGGCCGACCCCTCCTGGTGGATGCCCCTGTGGAGCAACCAGCCCTGCTGCATCACGTGGAGATGCCTTCCGTGACCTCCCACTGCCACTCCTGTCTCTCTTAATGCTCACAGTGATGTCCTGTGGTTTCTGTGTTGCTTGTGGAGCTGGGCCCAGGGCCTGGCCATGGGGAAAGGAGTCTGCTGTGACAGCTGGGCAGCGCTTCCCCGCTGCGTCCAGCCTCTGATCCTTTTCTAGTCATCTGCGAAGCTGAGCCAGTTCGCTAAAGCAGCAGCAAAGCCAGGCGAGGGCTTTTCCGCCCGTTCAGTGAGCTGAGTCGGCTCCCTGGGGCACCAAATGGCCTTTATACCGAAATTACAAAGAGCGAATGCAGTTCCCTGGTTTTCACCGGCTCGTCCTCTGTCCCCAGGGCTGAGCTGCTTCAGTGCCAAGGTCAGAAATCACCTCCCGTAGCAAGGTTGCCGCCTGTGGACCTTCTCCTCATCAGCTCGTTCCTCCCACCGCTGTGGCTCCCTGCAGACCTGGGGGTCCTGCTGCACTGACTGCTGGCAGGAGCTTTCCCGCCCGCTGGACACGCGCTTATCAGAGGGGCGGTGGGTGGGCGCAGAAGTAACCCAGAGCGTCAATGAAAAGCCGTTTCCTTCTGTTTGGAGCCTTGGAATTAACTTCTCCCCCCTGCAGCAGCGCAGGAGCTGGCCCTCGGTCACCACCGGCCCGGAGCAGGGCAGCGTTCCGAGACCTCCTCCTGCAGCAGGAGCTGTGCCGCACCGGTGGGATGCGTTGGATGCGCGATCGTCATCTGCCTGCTGGAAAATCCTGTGCACGTACGCGGCACCGTGCTCCTGGTACTGGCCCTTTGCCATCCACACATGCTGGAAGGACGTGAGCGACGCTGCCATCGAGCCCCCCGCCCAGGCCGCTGTGGCCACTGCGGGCTCGCCAGGACCTGAATCTGGCAGCCCGTGCTGTGCAGCCGGGCCTTCC